TCTCGCAAGAGTTGATGCGAGTAATGTTTTATAACCGCGCAGATAGGGCTCTGGTACATTGTGATTTGCCGGCACTGAGATCACCGTGATCGGGATTCACCGCGCGACCATATGGGCATCTCCGGGGGCCACGCGCCCGCTGAAGAGGCCAACGGCATCACAATGCATGCACTCAGCGAAGCCTCGGGCTGTGGCGAGCCGCCCCAAGTAAGGAGCATCCAGCCTCCCCCAGGTCAGCAAAGCGCCATGCGGCCTTCGCCCTTTGACCCCGATGCGCCGCGCGTGCTGTCACCAATGGGGTGGCTCCACCGCTACGTGCGCCAGCGATGGCGGGGGCGCTTCCTGCTCTTTGTGGAGGACCTGATGCCCGAGCGCGCGCCATATGGGGCTGCGGCCGAGGATGAGCGCTGCGGCACGGGTGACGACGTCGCCAGTACCCCATCGCTCGAGGTGGTGCAGCAAAGCGCATTCCGCCTGGAGGGCCCGCAGGACGACGAGCTGGGGGATGAGCCCAGGTAAAGGGCTGGTGGGGGAGGGGCCCTCTGCGGAGCTGGGCCCGGTGGGTCGGTTGCGATTGGGCTGCGTCAGTTGGCGGCAGTTGTGCACACTCGTGCGGCAACCATGCCGTACATGACGCACCCATCCTACTCCCTGCTGCATCTGAACAACCGCGCTTTTTGTCACCATCATCACCGACCATCATCTGACATTCTCGGGCTTTATCATGCATCACCGCCCGCCCCTGCCCAGGTACCGCGCCCTCCTGTCTGGTGTCGAGTGCTGCGCGGTGCTGCCAGACGGCCGTGAGCGCAAGGTGGCTTGCGATGAGACCTTCACGGGGCTTGGCGTGACGCGCCGCCAGGCGGAGCAGGCGGCTGCGGGGCTGGCGCGCGACTGGTTTGTGGCGCAGGGCCTGTGGGACCCCAACACTGTGGAGGGGCCCCCGCCCCCAAATATCAGCCTGGTGAGCTGCGGCGCTGGCAAGAGGAGGGGTAGTGTTCAGGATACGTAGCAGGCATTTGGTGGAGGCAACTGGCGTTATGCGCGATGTCACGAGTTGATAGAGAACGGTCTGGCCAGCCAGGCGCGCCATTCCACTTTTCCTCCCCAGTCGCTGTCCTGGTGCCCTCTCTGCTTGCCCATGCAGACGCGCGTGGCCAATCGGCACCGCGTGCAGTCTCGGCTGCGCGATGAGTCCAACCCCCTGGCTTTCCTGGACCTCACCCTGGGGGCAGGCAGGGGTGCGCGTTGGGCAGCAGGGCCGCGTTGCGCAGGCAGGTCGCTCTGTGTTAGTTGTTGCTTCGAGGGGTTGGCAGGAGCACATATTCATCACATGCTGACCATGCATCCGCTTGGGTGCAAGACAATATGGCAAGTCAACCAAATCAACTTCCCGCCCTGCTCCCTCCCCTCAAATTGCTTTGACGAGTGGGCCCCTGAATTCACACTCCTGCCCCCACCCATATTTCTGCATGGCCGCCCCACCCACCCCAGTGCACCGTGTTGTGCTGGAGCTGTTCAACCACACAGAGCCGCTGGTACGGCAGGAAGAAGGCCGCAAGCTCGAGCTGGGGCCGGTGACCTGCTTGCCCAAGGCCAGCGCTTGATAAAACTGCTCACTGCTTATTAAATGCGACATAGTTGTTGGCGGCATTCGGCAAGTCAGAACCATTTCCACCGCCGCCCATCCCACCCAGGGCGCGGCTTGCTTTATGCAGATGCTGCATGGCGCCGCCGAGTCGCCGCAACAGCAGGCAGCAGCACGCTCCAACGAAGGGGGCGCGGCGCCGCTGACGGCGCCGCCCGGGGCGTTTGGCGGATCAGGCGTAATTGGCGCTGAGTTTGGCTGCATCCTGCCAACCCTGCTGATGGCGGTGGGCGGGACCCCTGAGAACGCCCTCGAGATTGCGGGTGGGCCTCACTGATTGTTTGAAATGGCATGTGTGTGCGTGGACGCACGCGGGCCCGCGCACACGCGTGTGTGCGTGCATGCGTGCGTGCGTGCGTGCGCGTGCGTGCGTGTGTGCGTGTGTGTGTGTGTGTGTGTGTGTGTGTGTGTGTGTGTGTGTGTGTGTGTGTGTGTGTGTGTG